AAAAAAAAAAAAAAAAAAAAAAAAAGGCAGCCTTCAAAATTACTTTCCACTGTACTGGGGACAATTTTAAATTTAGATCATTTTCTCATTTTGCATGGGTAATCTCCAAAGCTTCGTGCTACAGACAATTCAATTTCACATGTATATTAAGGACAAATTTCCATTTCCTGCTGAAGTTAATAACCTTGTCCTCTCTCTGAGCAGTTCAGAGCTAGTATTTCCACAGAGAGAAGCTCAGATGTATAGAACCATTGCTCAAGTTTGTAAGGACAGGACATGAAGCTCTTTTTGAAGGGAAGCCCTTGTATCCTGCCTAGCAAATGTCAAGTGACTCTCCATGATTTATTTAGCACCTACCACAGCATCTAGGTTTTTAACAGATTTGATACTGAGTTCAAAAACTCAGAATCTAGAGTTATTTTAATGTTTAATTTTTTACCTTCTAAGGAGCTTCTAATCCCACTGCGTTCTCACTACTCTATTTATTTATGGAAGTCACATCCTATAAACTGAAATGTAGAAAAATAAAAATGGACGAAGTCTTGTCATTTTATTTTCATTCCATCACTTTCTCTCTCTTCTTCCTCCCCTACCATTTTCCTTTTCTTTTGGTAAGTTTCATTCCCTCCCAAAACACCAAATCGGTTCTTTAATTTAAACTGTTTTTTGCAATGTATCCAAAGGCTTCAAGCCACAGTTAGGCTCCATCTACACTAAAAAAATTTCCACCACATCTCGAGAAGTGCATGAACACGCACATGCTCTGGCAGCATGGTGGCAGCAGCAGCATTTCTGGTGGCCAAGCAGCTTGGCCAAATCACGCCTCCCCAAATTATGCAAGTTTCTCTAAAACCAAAAGTCACTAGAATTGGATCTAAAATCTATATCCTAGAACTGTCACTACGATAATTTGCATGGGAAGACATATATGCTAGGACAGATGCATTTGCCAGTAATAGACAAGAAATGGTCTTTAAAAAGTGAAGCCATTATACATGTAAGTCGGCCAATGTTCAGTATCTGCTCAATACTGTATTTACTCTAATCCATGACAAGACTCTTTCCCATTTAACATGGGAGGAAAAAAAAAGCCCCTTATCTTGGATTTGCATACGAGGCAGTGGGTGAGGCATGCAGCTGCTGTGGCTTTGGCCCGGAGGGGCTAGAGCCACATCTGTTGCTGTCCCCTTCTCTCTGCCTTCCCCTGCCATTTACCCGTGCTCTGATTTGGCAGCAGTGGCAGTTCTGGTCAGGTCCTGGAGCTGAGGTCAGAGCTGTCATGCTGCTGCCAATGCTACCAGGCCAGGCTGGGGCCATGCTCTGTGAGATAGTGCTCATGCTAAGCAAGGCCTAGCATAATTAACAACGCACTAAAACTCCCAGAATGCTTCAAGGAGGTTGAGAAGTCAGCGACTGACATTCTGGTTTTCACCATCTGACCCTTGAATAAGAATGCTGACAGTATGATAAAAATTGCAAGCAAAGCAGTGTTTTTTTAAAAAATACGGAAATGCAAGGCTGAACCGCAAGAACAAAAACAACCATATATCACGCTGATAAAGTCTGGGGAGTATTATAAGTAAACTATTAGAAATTAACATAAGAAGCGTAACCAATTATAATAAAGAGCGTGTAGAATATAGATGAGTTAACTAGTAACCAATAGAAGTAAGAATTAGAAATGCATATGTATACGTGTTATCATATATAAGTAATAGAAAAGTTATGTTAGATGCCTCACTCAGACAGAGTGGGGACAGTTTTGTATCTTTTGTCTAAAAAAAGATAAGGGACTCCTTTTAAATGAGCTGTTGACCAGTTCTGAGACTACTGAATCGGGCAGCCACACCTAGCCTTCGGGTTAGAAAGCAAGGGCTTGATTTGGGAACCTCGTGAACCAACAGACCTCCTTAGTTTATGACTTTGTGAAACAATAAAAGTTTTAAATTGAACATCCAGGTCTGAGCCTGTGCTTAATTCAGTCCTTATATAATTC